AGTTGAAAGCATCGTAGCCCCTGTGAAGTCAGTCGGGCGCCTAGAAAGCTTCGAGTATGCGAATCAGACTCTCAGACACTAGACTTAAGAACCCTGCAGCATGTAAGAATTGGCTTGTAGCCGTAAGCTTCCGCTATTGCATACGAGGATGCAGACTTCGTATATGTAGCACGAGGTAAAGTCGATGGGCGAATCGCGATCAACAATCTTGGCCGCATGCGGCAGTTAGATTATTGAAAGCCACACACAACGGCCTTATCAGCAGCTATCGTGCATGTCCTCGGTGTTCTTAGCCTATCAGACAGAACAGCCAGCGAGTGTACTCGGCGGATGCCACCATCGAAAACCGATTTCCGTTGTCGGACAGGTCGCCACAGTTAGCGGGTTCTCTTCCAATGTATGACACCTCGATCGACAGCCCAGGCCGCCAACAGGCAGCCGCAGCATAGCACCCCGCATTATCCCCCCTTCTCTTGGATCGGAAGTCGGCTGTAACAAAGTTCGGGCTAGTGGTACCACAACGCCTGCTGGGGTGAACACTGTAGACACCTCTGTAACAACTGCGTCTTTGAATGTGGGTTGTTGAGTCTCAGGGTGAGCGACTGGGATGAGGACAACTCAGCATTGAATTCTGATACTGACCATAATATCAAGGATTCGCCACATATCGCATCTTAATTAATCAGGGGGGAGATAATGGTTCGGATGGATCGACAATCAGTGCCCCGGACGCGGCTATCGCCTCCGCATAGACCTGCCCGATTGGGACAGGTGACGGAGAGACTGACGATGATGATCTGGGATCGAATTCCAGGAATGCAGGGACGAGCTGAAACTTCGATGCGACCTGCGAGTTGATAGACGTAGCTGCCATTTTTAGAGAGCAACTATAGCAGACTGGGAAGATGGTAATTCCTTATATTGGAGAATGCTTTGAGCAGGGCGACCGAAAGGCCGGATAGGACCCATGGCCGTAAGAAGGCAGTGGTCGCCTGAGAGTAAACCGCTGCTATACAATGAGTATACGAGGCAAATATCACGACCATAGCCTGTCTGAGCGCTGCTCAGAGTCGAGCTCCTCGGTCACTGCAACAGGCCTTTGGATGCCCGAAGCTGCCATGCCATCCCCACTTGGGAAGTCCTGCCGAGCCTAAAAAAACCAGCCCCCGCAAAAGTCAAAAGTCAAAGACGGAAAAAAAAATTTCACTTATCGACAACTTATCTATCTTGTCCACTCACGAGCATCTCTTCCATGACCAATTGATCATTAACTTGGTCATTATCACTCTGATAACCATCTTACCTTTCCGAACTAAGCATGCTGGCCTTGTGAGGGGAAGCCCGAGAATCCCCATGCCCTTGCATCCTTAGACTTGTTCATATATGAACCGTCCCCTCAGCACCTAAAGCCAGTTATATGAATTTGCAGAAAATGGACAATTGGGTGCACAACTTGTCCATCGATCTCGTTGCTCTCCCGCTTGGCTGAATTGATTATTTGTGATTGTGCATTTTCATCCATTTTATTTCCGGATGCCGATGGACTTGGAAAACAACGGGCCGATCAAACCGATCCAGTCGGTCGACCAGAGCGTTCAAGATGCTCACGATCTTGCGGCCATGGGCCATGACCAGGCCATGACTCGAAAATTTGACATTTGGAGCATGTTGTCTCTCGCGTTTTGTGTCTTAGGTTAGTCCTGCCCGATCGTCGGAATTTTTCGTGTGCTCTGTGCGCGCTGCATCCACCGGGGCGCCAAGAACGGCAGCTAACTGTTGCGACCAGGCACCTACTCTACTTTCGCACAGGATTTGGATAGCGGCCTCACCAATGGCGGCTCCATAACCATTCTTTGGGGTCTCGTGCTGGTCACGGCCTGCAACCTGTGTGTCGCAGTTTCGCTTGGAGAGCTCACCAGTAGTATGCCGACCGCTCTGGGCCAGGCGTATTGGGTGTTTCGACTTTGGGACACCCCGCTGGGTCGATTCACCTCGTACATGTGCGCATGGATCAACATGTTCGGCTGGTGGACCTTGACCGCGTCCCAGGTTGCTTTCATGGCCGAGTTCCTCCTGGGCATGAAAGTCATGTTCGATAACTCGTGGGGCGGGGCCAGCACTGGGTGGCTAAATTTCGTCGTCTACATTTGCACAGTTCTGGTGTTAACTGTCATCAACCTAGTCGGCTGTAGGAAGGAAAAGGTCCTCCCATGGCTCAACAACTTTGTCGGCATATGGTTTACCGGCCTCTTCGTCGTCTTGTCACTTGCGCTGCTCATCTCCGTCGGCGTGAAGAAAGATCTCTCCTTCCAACCAGCGTCTTTCGTCTTTGGAGCTTGGATGAACGAAACCGGTTGGGGAAACGGGGTCGTTTGGTTCACGGGCCTAGTGCAGGCCGCTTATGGTCTCACGGCTTTTGATGCCGTTATTCATATGGTCGAGGAGATTCCCGCCCCGCGTCGCAATGCCCCGAAAGTCATGTGGCTTTCCGTACTCATGGGGGCCATCACTGGTTTTATCTTCATGATGGTCTGCTTGTTTTGCATCCAGGACATCAACGAGGTCATCAACTCTCCAACCGGCTTGCCGTTCATGGAGTTGATGGTGGAGACAGTAGGCCTGGAAGGTGGGGCCACTCTCATCGCTTTATTCATCTTTAATGGCCTGGGCCAGGGAATCAGTATTCTAACGACCGCTTCCCGACTAACTTGGGGCTTTGCACGAGATGGTGGCTTACCTTGGAGCGGATACTTCATGCTGGTCGATCCGGTATGGAAGGTTCCGGCACGAGCACTCTGGTTCCAGGGCTTTTGGATTGCATTGGTCGGAATTCTTTATCTTTTTGCTAACACGGTGCTCGATGCGATCCTGAGTGTTAGTACGATCGCATTGACCATCTCATATGGTCTTCCCATTGCTGCCCTTTTGGTAGTTGGGCGCGATAAGCTTCCACCCGGCCAGTTCCATCTGGGACGGTGGGGGACGCTGATCAATTGGGTCAGCATTATCTACTGCATTATCACGACAGTATTCTTCCTATTCCCCGGGTCCCCGAACCCGTCACCTAGCGATATGAATTATGCGATCGCCGTGTTTGGAGTGATGCTGGTGGTCGCCGTTGGATTCTGGTTCGTACAAGGAAACCGCACGTATTTGAAGACTGAGGATGCCATCGACCAGATGATTCAGGCACAGAGGCTTGAAGTCAACACGGCGACACAGGCGCAAGATAAGAAGAAATAGATCTTTGTATATAGTTTTCTTCGAGAGTTTAATGACTGCAATGACCCTCAGTATTCTGTTAGCCAAGATTGTATGCATAGGAAGCAAGTAAGCCAACTGAAACCCACCGGTGAATTGATAAGCTCCAATGATCGCCTCCCAAGAGCTTCTAAGGTCGAGACATAACACCGCCACTCGAGGATTACTAGTAAGTGATATGGTAAGATGATCAATTGCACGTCCTGCGGAGAGAGGAAAGAGTGTAGGTTGATGAGAAAGGCCCGTGACCCAAGTGGACGCGCCCCCCCACGTGTTTTGTACCATCACCCCATGTATGGCACCACTTCTCTCTTGCCCATCTTCCTGAACTTAAAGAATACTTTAATTCCAAGTGACTCTTCAACAACACTAACTCCTCTACCTCGCTCTAGTTTGATAACTTTAAATTGCTATTCCCTTCGGTGATCCATGCCTTTTAAGTGGAGCAACTACCTGGTCACTAACACATAACGATGCTTTTACCTTTCACAATCTATTCTTCCGAGGAGAAATCTACCACGTCCTCAGTATCCGCGATCAGGATCAACCCAATCGGCAAGGAAAAAAGATCGCTCGACAAATATGACGTGGCTGATGTCTCTGCGGACCTAAAGTGAGAAATCTCTCCCTACTGCCGTCGGACTTATCACATTCTGCCGGCTGTCTAAACGTGGGATACGGTGAAACATACTGGTCGCCCATCTATTGGTAACGGGCGGAAAAATTCGGATGAAATACCCAGATGTTATAGGTCGAATGGTGGTTCAGTTGATGATGTTGGGATGCCAACCTCACATAGTTGTCATGGTACCATTGAGAACAAACAAGCAACTTGTTGCACCCTGATTACTGATTCAGCTCTGAAACAGGAACAGGAACCGGATGGCTTAAGGGGCCCAGACCAGGTTTGATTAATAGGAACGGGGTTCGATGAGTTCCACAGCCTAAACAGTTCCGAAAGTACCCCACCTGCTAGCTGGCTATATCCGAGCCTTACTAGGTTGTTCCTGGCCCTGAGGGTCTGTCCAGATAGCTTATCTGCCAAGAGACAGTGACGCAAACTATCTATGCATTACTGCAGCTGGTTTTCGGACACTTTTGCGAGACATCATCTAGAGGTACAGCGAGGCAAAAGTGTGGTTGCTGTGCTGTGCACCGTGGGATGTGGAATAGACCTAACCATACTGAAATGATCGTGGGGTTGGTCTACCAAAAGCTCAGAAAGAGCACTGAAGACTAATTGCCAGCTGGCTCTTGATTGTCGTCGGTAATCGCGGACAGTGTTTCCAGACACGATGAATTTTGCAGCCCGCTATTGACGTGATGCTGTACCTCTTGCTGCATCTCTATATCCGGCCCCGTCGATGCCATACCGAAAACATTCTGTTGTGGATCTTATCTTACTTCCCAGCCAATGAGATCTGCGGAAAGAGCTCATGGTGGGGATATCGGTTTTACGGCCTCAAGGTGATTCGGCTATACGGATTTACGGAGGGCGCTTTTTCAACAATCTGTCTCCATATTTGTTTCCTGAGGGAGAAAATATTGGAATATAACAGATTGAACGCCCATGGCTGTGGAAGGCTTACATTTGAGTCCCTGAGCCAAATTGTCATCTAGTTCCTTGGTTTCATGGACTGTGGTCAATAGGTATGCTTACCAGCGGCGTGCGGGATCTACAACGGATATACTGACTGATCGGCCCCGTCTAGTTGTGACAAGTGGAATTACTGCTCAGGATGGACACTTCATCATCCTCAGAGACCGTGGACATTGAGCCCGGACACTCTTCTATTCCAAAACAGCTGACGCTCACGTGGCGGAATGTTAGCGTGAATGTCACAGCCCCCGATGCCGCCCTAGGCGATACACTATTGTCAGTGGCCGATCCACGGCAGATTTCGGGGTGGTTTAGCAGGAGTCAAAGGCCAAAGAGGGTAGGACTGAGATAATAGCAAGCTCTGACCAATGCTAACAATTTTAATAAGACCATCCTCAAGGACATCTCTGGCCAACTCCGTCCAGGAGAGATGGTAAGAGAAATGAAGTGACCAGAGAGATTGAAAGCTTACTGACTGTACCTAGTTGCTCGTTCTGGGACGTCCAGGTTCAGGGTGTACATCATTCCTTCGCGTAATCTCCAATGATCGCGAAGCTTTCGACGAAGTTGTCGGCGAGACTCGATATGGAAGCATGGACCACAAACAGGCGAAGAAGTACCGGCAGCAGATCATGTTTAACAATGAAGACGATGTGCATTTCCCCACGTTGACCGTTAATCGGACGATGAAATTTGCTCTTCGAAACAAGGTTCCCAGGGAACGACCCGACCATCTGCATGACCGAAAGGACTACGTCCAGGAGAAAAGAGACGGTATCCTAGAATCGCTCGGCATTCCGCACACAAAGAAGACATTGGTTGGTAACGAGTTCATCCGTGGTGTATCTGGTGGTGAGCGGAAGCGTGTTTCCTTAGCAGAAGTGATGGCTGGACAGGTATTGATATTTCTCCCATATAACATGGACAGAATACTTACGATCGATATTAGAGTCCTGTTCAATTCTGGGATAACCCAACTCGCGGTCTGGATTCCAAAACAGCGGTTGAGTTTGCTCGCATGCTGCGACGCGAGGCCAACGAAAACCAGAAGACAATAATGGCTACCATGTACCAAGCTGGAAATGGTATTTACGATGAATTTGACAAGATCCTTGTCCTAGCGGAAGGTCTTGTCACCTATTACGGTCCGCGCGCAATGGCCCGGGGCTACTTCGAAGACATGGGATTCATCTGTCCCAAGGGAGCCAACATTGCCGACTTTTTGACATCGGTTACCGTGGTCACTGAACGGACTGTTGCCCCCGGCATGGAAGAGAAGGTTCCCAACTCGCCCGCTGAGTTCGAGGCTCGTTACCGCCAGAGTGCAATCTACTCTCAGATGATGAATGACATCCAGCCGCCAGAGAAGTTGGTCAAGGAGGATGAGAATCTGGCTCTTGCAGTGGCAATGGAGAAGAGAAAGCAGCATGTTCCTCGACCTCAAAGTGTCTATACGACTGGTCTGTGGGATCAGATTCTCAGCTGCACCCTTCGGTAAGATCATTGTCACTGGAAGTATAGCGGCGAAACTGACATTATTAAAGTCAATTCCAGATCCTGGCCGGTGACAAGCTCTCAATCGCCATCAAGGTGGTTTCTGCCATCTTGCAGGCTCTTGTTTGCGGCAGTCTGTTCTACAACCTCAAGCTCGACAGCAGTTCAATTTTCCTGCGTCCTGGTGCTCTCTTCTTTCCCGTTCTTTACTTCCTCCTCGAGACAATGTCTGAAACAACCGGATCGTTCATGGGTCGACCTATCCTTTCCCGTCAGAAGAGGTTTGGCTTCTACCGACCGACAGCTTTTGCTATCGCCAATGCGATCACCGATATCCCTATCGTCTTGGTTCAGGTGTCTTGTTTCTCCTTGATTTTGTACTTCATGAGTGCGATGCAGATGGACGCAGGCCGCTTCTTCACGTATTGGATCATCATTATCGTACAAACGCTGTGCTTCATGCAAATGTTCCGTGCGATTGGTGCCCTGTGCAAACAGTTTGGTAATGCGTCCAAGATGACCGGGTTTCTTTCAACTGTCTTTTTCGTCTACGGAGGTTCGTTTTGCCAGACTCACTTTTTTTTGGATTTTTACTAATCCAAACAGGATATCTTATTCCTTTTGAGAAGATGCATGTCTGGTTCCGTTGGATATTTTATCTGAACCCGGGTGCATATGCCTTTGAGGCGTTAATGGCCAACGAGTTCACTGGCCTCGAACTTGACTGTGTCGAGCCTGACTATATCCCATATGGGTCGGGCTACCCCAGCGGCTCATCCCCCTACCGCGGCTGCACCGTCAAGGGCAGCAACTCGGAAGGTGTTATTGATGGTGCCGCTTACATCAAAGAGCAGTACAATTACACCTATCACCATGTCTGGCGAAGCTTCGGCATTATCATTGGCTTTTGGGCATTCTTCATCTTCCTGACCGCGATTGGATTTGAATTGCGCAATAGCAGCGCCGGATCTTCTGTCCTTCTCTACAAGCGAGGCGCCAAGAGCAAGAAGCCAGACGAGGAGAGTAACGTCTCGGCAAAGTCTGAAGGAGCTGTTCTTGCGCAGTCTGGAAAGCAGTCGACGTTTACATGGAGCAACCTTGATTACCACGTTCCTTTCCATGGCCAGAAGAAACAGCTGCTGGACCAGGTGTTTGGATATGTCAAGCCGGGTAACTTGGTAGCATTGATGGGATGCTCTGGTGCGGGAAAGACTACGTAAGTGGTATCAGACGGTGACACAATGATGCAAAGCTGATTGATAAAGATTGCTCGATGTATTGGCTCAGCGCAAGGATAGTGGTGAGATCTACGGATCCATCCTGATCGATGGTCGGCCTCAAGGTATCAGTTTCCAGCGCACAACTGGCTACTGCGAACAGATGGATGTTCATGAAGGTACCGCGACCGTGAGAGAAGCCCTGGTCTTCTCCGCTCTTCTCCGTCAACCTGATAGCGTACCACGCGAAGAGAAGATTGCCTATGTTGATCATATCATTGATCTTCTGGAGCTCGGCGACATCCGGGATGCCCTGATTGGAGGTATGTGACGGCTTCCAACAAACACTTTTTTCGATACTGACATTATAGTTCCCGGGGCTGGCTTGAGCATTGAACAGCGGAAGAGAGTGACACTGGGTGTTGAGCTAGTCGCTAAGCCAACGCTTCTCTTCTTGGATGAACCGACCTCCGGTCTTGATGGACAGTCCGCGTACAACATTATCCGGTTCCTGAGAAAGCTCGTCGATAGCGGTCAGGCTGTGCTGGTAAGTCTATCCATCTTTGCATTTGGGCAGCATCTCATATCTTCCAGTGCACCATTCATCAGCCGTCAGCGGTCTTGTTCGATGCTTTCGACTCGCTAGTGCTGCTTGCCAAGGGCGGAAAGATGACCTACTTCGGAGAGAGTAAGTTCATCGCCTGCCTGCCTAGACTCAATCTAACATCCTTCAGCTGGCGAGGAGTCTCACAAAGTGTTGGAATACTTTGCAAAGAACGGAGCACCCTGTCCCCCTGACATGAACCCGGCGGAACACATTGTGGAGGTTATCCAAGGTAATACCGAGAAGCCTATTGATTGGGTTGATGTGTGGAGCCGGTCTGAGGAGCGCGAGCGCGCTCTTGCAGAACTTGAAGCCTTGAACAAGGAGGGCCAATCACATGCCGATTATGTGGAAGACCAAAGCAACTTTGCAACCCCGGTTTGGTTCCAGTTCAAAATGGTGCTGCATCGCCTCATGGTTCAGCTATGGCGGTCACCGGTAAGTTTATATGATTGTATGACTGGGAACATCAACTAACAAGAACAGGACTACATGTGGAACAAAATCATCCTACACGTCTTCGCCGCGCTGTTCAGTGGATTCACCTTCTGGAAGATGGGAGATGGAACGTTTGCGCTACAACTTCGACTGTTTGCTATCTTCAACTTCATCTTCGTTGCCCCAGGATGTATCAACCAGATGCAGCCGTTCTTCCTGCACAATCGCGATATCTTTGAGACTCGAGAGAAGAAGGCAAGTCCTGCGAGCAGTACCATCATCAACCCTTGCTAACCGAATCCAGTCCAAAACTTATCACTGGATAGCTTTCATCGGTGCTCAAGCAGTTTCGGAAATCCCCTACCTGATTATCTGCGCCACGCTCTACTTCGCATGCTGGTACTTTGTTGCCGGATTGCCCGTTGATGCGTACATCTCCGGCCACATGTACTTGCAGATGATTTGTACGTACGCTTCCTTTGCAGAACCGAGCGGAACTGACCAATATAGTCTACGAATTCCTGTACACTTCGATCGGACAGGCCATTGCGGCCTACGCCCCCAACGAGTACTTCGCCGCCATCATGAACCCCATCCTCATCGGCGCGGGCATGATCGCTTTCTGTGGTGTCGTTGTTCCCTACGATAGTATCACTCCCTTCTGGCGGTACTGGATGTACTACCTTGACCCCTTCACCTACCTGGTGGGTGGTCTTCTGGGTGAGGTGCTCTGGGATGTCAAGGTGCAATGTGAGCCTTCGGAGTTTATTCAGTTCAACGCCCCGTCCGGACAAACGTGTGGTCAGTACATGGCCGAGTTCATCTCCGAGCAGACGGGCTACCTCCTGGACGCGAATGCCACCGACACTTGCTCGTTCTGCCAGTACTCGATGGGTTCGGACTATGCCAAGACCTTCAACTTGAAGGAGAAGTACTACTCGTGGAGAGATGTAAGTGTATCACTGGCGAGAGATGAGACTAAATGCTAATCGATACATTACAGACTGGAATTACAGCGTTGTTTTGTATCACGTCGTATGGACTGGTGTTCTTGATGATGAAGCTGCGGAGCAAGAAGACGAAGAGTGCACGGTCGGAGTAGACCGCAAGATAGGAGGTTCCGATGTAAATAGGGGGAGGGGGAGCATTGAAGGGAAGAGCTAGACATGCATTATTTGGGTACATAGATATTAGATGATATACCGACTGGCTGCAGTCACATAGATACTATTTGTTATACTAGAGTTTAATACAGCATCGCATGGTTTATTTCTATCACATCTTTTCCTATCAGACCTGAATTTGGTGGCTGGCACAAGTAGTAGTATGGCTTTACGAAGTAGGAAAGGCAGTGTGAGCGCGAAAAATAAATGTATTGGAATGAGCAGACTAAAAGGCAAAGTAACTAGGCTTGTCCGCCATGCTAGAGTTTTATCGGAATTGTCGGAAGAACCAACACCAATCTGAAGATCATCATGTGTCTCTTCCTCTCTAAAATATGATATTATACAAAGTATATATAGGCATAACACAAGTATATAATCCAACCACCGAACAAAATTTCCAAACCAAAACCCAGGGTATATATATAACCAAACCAGAAACTCCCAAACCATAAAAAAAGCATCCATCAAAACCTAAACCTCGGCGTATCGACCTGCGATCTCACATACGCGACATCCACCAACCTACCCAAAATAACATACTCCAACTTCAACTTAATACTATAAACCAAAGCCTTGAATGTCACCTGGAACGTAAAAAACCCGGCATACTGGATCCCCACGACCGACAAATCCAAGACAATAATCACCACATTCACCAGCAACAACTGGACCAACACACTCCTGGACAACTCCCCACTATCCATGCGCAACATCCTCGCCGTCTCGCGTATATACAGCCCCGAGAGCAACAGCTCCTGCGCACAGAACCATACCAACTGTATGCGCTCCATGATCCCAAAGGCAACATTCACAGGCTGAGAATCCGGCATCGCATTAACCGCCAGTTCCAGCCCCTCGCTCGAGCAATGTAGTAGCACCCCGTCGAAGATAATCAGGTAGAGGAGGCCGCGCAGGAGTTTCTTCTGATGCAGCACGAGGTGTAGTCGCGACCAAAGAACGAGGGATTGTCCGGTGACCATGCCGGCCCAGCCGACGCCGACTATGGAGATCTCGAGGAAGTAGTTGGTGAAAGTCAGACCGAACATTTTGAGCAGGTAGCCGAGGCTGAAGGGGATGATGGAGAGGGAGGCGATCAGGAGAGACCAGAAGTAGGTGCCGGTGTAGCGTTTGAAGGTGTTGAGGCAGAGGATGACCAGCTCGATGGCATTGCACCATGAGAGGGCGATGAGGATAGGGAAGACATATTCTTCGACGGTAGTGTTGAGATGTCGGGTTAGGCCGGTGGGGGATTGGGTTGCCGCGTCGTCAAGGGTGAAATGGGGCATTAATGGGAGGCATTGATGGGGAGGGAAAGAAAGATAGTGGAGGTTATCAGTTATCGATCGATGGAAGGGAGGCGATGAGGTAGGTGGTGGTGGTGGTGGTGGTGAAGGAGATAGGGAGGGTTACACAGCACAGCATAGCAAGTTAACTTTTGTTGCAATGGTAATCAGCAGTGAGGCGAAGTTGGTAATCATAGAGTTCGTCGCAAAGTTGTGGCACCCGATCTGGCAGGCAGAAGGAACGGCTGTGATTTGATCGAGAACGGCCAATTGCGTCATGGATGTCGGCAGTTATGGCGGTTCTCATGCGCTTATTGGTTGGAGATACAGGGATTGCGGATAAGACAGCCAATAGAAGTGAACGGTGACTGCTAATCTCTCCTTATTTTGACTAGCTGCGTCGGTTAAATGGAAGGTGGTCATTGGTGGAGCAATCTAGTCGGAACGGTTCTGCCCGATAAGGCAACCCCTGATATTCGGCCATTAGTATTCTTGACGGTCCCCGTATTTTTGGGGATGGGTTTGTCTTGTTTGTCTTGTTTGTTCAGGGACACGTCGCGTGCTCACTTGGGATAGCTCTTTCCTTACTGCCTGCAGACGCGATAGCCATGGCCATGCTGCGGCAAGTATAAGGCTGAGATTGCCGACAGCTGCATCGGCGGCTACTGCCTCTCATAGCAACCGCAGCTAATCACGTACGGAGCTCTTCCCCGCCATTACCTCAATGGAGCTGGGGACAAACAATCATTCTTCCTCACCGGTTCTGCTGCCTCTCAAACTTCTGCCCCCGACGTGTCAGCACGACTGACAATTATGCTTCCCACTAAGAGCTTGGATTTGACCGGGCGGAAGCCTCTGTATCGCCTCTCCGCTACTCCGGTGCCTCCTACTACTCCACTTGCTCCGAACACAAAGCCCGCGGCCCAAACCCCGACACATCCTCCGGCACCGCAGTACCAGCCCTGGCAGCAAACGCCTCCCCACCCTTATCCGGCCCGGTCACCCCATGAACAGCCTCCGCAGGTCCTCTCCCCTTATAGCGAAGCCACGCATGGAACCGACATGCAGGCTGCGCGACGGCGCGGACGGATGCTATTCGAAAATGAGCTCATCATCCTCTTCAAAGGCTGTATCGAGCGAAAGGATATGTACCTGACCAACCCGAACCGAAGCGTATTCTGGGACAACGTGGCTGGGTATATGAACAGCTTCACGGGTCGAAACTTCTCGCCCCCATCCTACCAGCAGATCGTGACGGACCGAAGTATTGAGCGTCGGATGCATCGACGCGACATCGCGACTGGAAAGGTCCACGCGGAGCCACCCAACGCCCTCACGACTGTGATCGATCAATGGATTGCGATGGAGGATGAGATACTGAAACAAACGAGCGAGAACGAGGTTTCGTCGCATAAACGGCCCGCACCGGACGATCCTAGTACGCAGGATCTCAACCAAGCTAAGCGTTTGCGACCACCGACTGCGGATACACCCCAGATCACCCCTTCCAGTCCTTCTCAGGCGCGCCGAGAAGTGGATGGGAACACTCTGGCCCGGGCTTTGGTGCAAGAAGTCCGAGATCTACGACGGGAGGTGGGAGAAGTCCATCGGAAACTGGACTTGGTTCTGGAGGCACTCAAGGTGGTTAAAGAGAAACCGGATAACGTGGAATCAGACAAAAGATGATCCTGTGTGGGGTTGTTGTTGTTGAGCTCGGACAAAACTGCCATTTGAGGGAGTGAGAGGCATTGAAGGTGGGCTGCTCGGTCGGTCGTTGCGAACAGCCGAGACCGCTCAGCCCCTCCTTCCCCGCATTCAATAAGAATTTGAGGCTATTTAACTGAGCTTGACAGAAGGGATCTGTATGGGAATGATTGCCTCAGTTCTCATCGGCAACGCATTCAGCTATCATGGCTCCTACATTCCGCGCAGAACAAATCGGGTCGTTGATGCGGTCCGAGGAGCTGTTGGCTGCCCGTAACGCCGCCGGACTGGGGCACATCTACACCCGAACCAACGTGCCGGAAGATGTGCAGCAGGTGACAAAACAGGCGATCGCCAAGGTGGTGGAACAGCAGCAGGCGCACAAGGTGCGCCCTATCATGACCGGAGAGTTTGAGCGGCCCATCTTCTATGCCGGATTTTTTGAGAACCTGGAGGGTTTCGAGTTGGCCAAGGTCCCCATTCCTGCAGGCTACCGGACGGGGCTTCCGACCGTGCAGACGCTCGAGAAGCTGGGCATCAAGGAACGGGATGCCTGCGTGGCTGTGGGTAAGATCCAGCACGTGCGCAGCCCGTACCTGGCCGACTGGGAGCACCTGCGGAGTCTGGTGCCACAGGAACAGTGGAAGGAGTGCAAGATGAGCATGCCATCTATCACTTGGCAGCACCAACATTTGCGCGCAGGGGCCGCCTTCACGGCATCTAGTCCGTACACGACCGACAAAGAGTACTTTGCAGACCTTGCAAGGGCCTTTGCACGGGAGTACCAGGTCCTTTACGACGCGGGACTGCGCTCCATTCAGGTTGACGATCCGGCCATGACATTCTTTGTCACGGACGAGATGCGATCGGGGTGTCTGGCGGATGGGATTGACCCGGATGAACTGCTGGACTTGTATATTTGGGCGCACAACGAAAGTCTCCGGGGCCGACCCGCAGATCTTCATGTCGGAGTGCACCTCTGTCGAGGCAATATGCCCGGGTCAACGCACGTACTCAGCGGGTCGTATGAGCGGATCGCGCGACGCATGTTTACTAAGCTCGACTACGACACATTCTACTTGGAGTATGACACGGAGCGCGCAGGAGACTTCCAGCCGCTGCGGCATTTGCCGGTGGGCAAGAACGTGGTGCTGGGAGTGGTGTCGACGAAGGCACCGGAATTGGAGACGGTAGAGGAGCTGCAGGCGCGAGTGTATGAGGCGGCGGATGTGATTGCACAGGGGCAAGGCCGGAGTCGGCAAGAGGTGCTCGATAGCTCGCTTGGAGTGAGTCCGCAGTGTGGCTTCTCGAGTGTGAGCTATGGTCGGGGAATAGGAATGACGGAGGAGCGCATGTGGGAGAAGTTGCAGTTGGTGCAGAAAGTGGCCGAGCGGGTGTGGCAGTAATTTGGGATAGTGTGTATGCACTTTACTACTATATTCAAAGGGACCGGATAATATTTAGTGTTGAAGACTGCGTGGCCGTCAGGCACAGCAGATTGCATGACCCACAAATTCTGTCAAGTACCATGGCATGCTGACCTGCACGTGGCTGAATTGTTGGGTTCCGGATATCCGTGATGATCCTTAACCAATTTATTCTTTTGCATAAATGCGGGATTTTGGGTGGATGAACTCCCGCACGGCAACTCTTTCCAGCCGAGCTTGAACTGAATCTGACCAGTCAGTCTGCCGTCTATTAATTTGACTGGAGTCTATATAGCTGGGGCCCGGCACGAGCTCCTTATCCATTTACTAGTAGTAGTACTACTCCCTCACTTTACCCGCCAATCAAGCCTTCCCTTCCCACCATGCACTTCCCCCTGGCAGCCCTGACTCTGCTTCCCCTCGCCACCCACGCCATTAACATCCTCTCCTCCAACGACGATGGCTGGGCCGAGCTCAACATTCGCACTTTGTACGATGCGCTCACTGCCGCTGACCACTCGGTGGTAATATCCGCTCCTGCAGAGAACGAAAGCGGATCTGGTACCTTCTATACCTAATACCTTGCCTTACCATCACTTCAACGAATTAAAAAGCTGATTCATACAGGCTCCAACGACGCAACACCCACTCCTTTAACCTCTCCCTGCGAATTTGACTCCTGTCCCAGCGGCAGTCCCGCCGTCGGCCATAATGCCACCCAACCACGCTTCAACTACGTCAACAGCTACCCAGCGACCTCCATGAAATATGGTCTCAACAACCTCTCCTCCACCTACTTCTCCGGGGCTCCCGACCTTGCCGTCGCCGGTCCCAACGTAGGCGCTAACCTCGGCCTCGCCGTCTTCTTCTCCGGCACCGCTGGGGCAACTACCTACGCCGCCAATCAAGGCATTCCCGCGATTGCTTTCTCCGGCTACACTGGCTCCCAGATCGCCTGGAATGTGAGCAGCGTTCCCACGTACAGCACCGTATATGCGCAGCTGGCGACAAAGCTGGTAGATGAGTTGGTGGAGTCCGGAACGCCGTATTTGCCTACGGGCGTGTGGTTGAATGTGAACTTTGGGGCTGTGAGTGATGATAGTTGTACGAGCGCGGATGATTTCAGCTTTGTGCTGTCGAGAATCTTTACGGCGATTCCATTGATCACGGCGGATGATGTTGAAACCTGTAACAGTACGAGGTTGCCCACCGAGTTGGACGTTATGCTGCACAGTGGATGCTGGGCGAGTGTGTCGGTGGGTATGGCGGGAGATAAGCTGGATGCGAACGCGACAGTGCAAGGCGTGGTATTGGAGAAGTTAGGGGGGTTGTTGACTTGTTTGGAATGATTCCACTATTTCCAGAAGTGGATTGTAAATAGTACTACGTAGTACATAGTATATAGTCAGTATAGTATGATAGGCGGAGTACATAGCATGTGCAGCCCTATATCCGCATTTACGCCTGCAGGATGCGTGGTCCGAAGACATGCCATTATTGGTTGAAAATACGCCCTCCGACATTCCGTGTCTACATGTTAATATGCGCCACTATTAATCTATTCGACTTGGTATTCCCCTCACTGCCCTGAAACCACACGTTCCTGCCGAACATTCTCCGTTCCAACATCCTCCGTGCCTGTCAGCATTATCACCCGGATACGCGCATCCAGCTGATCCTGCACAGGAATAGGCATAACCCCCGAGCAGCAACCACATGCTCGAGATACTCTCCCGTCTGCCTTCTCTATTGCCCCACCGCTACCGTTCCTTCTCTGCAGATCTGAAGATACTTGCCTATAGTAGAGATGGACATAAAAGGAGCTCCCCCTCATCCTGTTTCTTCCCCTCATCATTCCATCATTCTCAAACAATCAAAGCAAGTCACAAATAAGTAAAACAGAAAGAAAAGAAATCGACAAAATGTCCCTCCGCACCCTCCTCCTCGCCGCATCCACCCTCTCCGCCACAACATCAGCAGCAGCAGTAACAGCAAGCAAGCACCGTCTGCACGCGCGCGACTGGATCGCCAGCGATGAAATCGTCGGCTTCAACCAGACCGTCCCCGACAACTCCACCGGCGACCTCTACCTCGCCTACCAGCCCTACCTGAAGGTCGTGAACGGATGTGTCCCGTTCCCGGGTGTTGACGCCGAAGGTAATACCGAGTATGTCCACCCTCCCAGCTACCTACCGCCTTATATCCCAACCAAATCCCCTAATGTCTGAAAAAAACAATGATAGTGCCGGCCTAGCCCCCACCGGCGCCAGCGACGGCGACTGCAGCTCCAACACAGGCCAAATCTACGTGCGCAGCAACATCTCCAGCACGACCAATGAATACCCAACAGCATTACTATACAGCTGGTACATGCCCAAAGACGAACCCAGCGACGGCCTCGGCCATCGCCACGACTGGGAGGGCGTTATCATCTACCTGTCTGATTCTACTACCGTCTCCGCGGATAATATCCTGGCTGTGTGTCCGTCCGCGCATGGCGGGTGGGATTGCTCCACCGATGGGTATACGCTTGATGGTACGAAGGCGTTGATCAAGTATGAGAGTATCTGGCCGTTGGATCATAGTTGTGGGTTGACGGATGTGGTGGGCGGGACGCAGCCACTTGTAGCGTGGGAGAGCTTGACCACTGCGGCGAGGGATGCCTTGCAGACGGCGGATTTTGATAAGGCCATTGTGCCGTTTAAGGATAGTACTTTTGATGAGAATTTGGCGAAGGCTACTTATTGATTAGTTACTAAGAGTTATGATGGGAGGAGAGGGAGGGGGTGGATGTATATAGTTGGATGGGTAGTTATGAGTAGTATATATTGAAATTTCGTTTTATATGTCAGATAATAATCAGTCATTGTGATGAGTATTTGTTGAGTTCAGTGAGAGACTTGATGTAAAGAGAGGTTCTTTATTTAAGTGAAGGGTTCCGGTCGAGGTAAGAAATAGCTAGTGGTTTTATACTTTCTACGAGGTTACTGTTTATGTTTATTCTGGGAGAATATGAGGCAAGTCAATTTATTTAATACACTAAACAGCATAGACTAGCTATGACTGACAAGGATAGAACTATAAGAGTAGCCAAGTAAGAGCTACTTAAGCGCTAGCAATGCACTGGTAGTAGTAAGGGTTGTAAGAGTGGCAGCTAGATCCGCTAGCGCACTGAGTAGCACCAGTCCAGTTGATACCACCGCACTGGCCGTACATAGACTGGCTACCGGAGCTACCGGAAGCAGCAGAGCTGACAGCCGGAGCAGGGGTGATGGTCGACTGAGCAGGCTCGGGCTGGACCGAGGTAGTGGGCTGCACAGCCTGAGGGGTGTTGGTGAAGGTCAACAGGGTAGTCCAAGAGGAGGGGACCTGCACGGGGATCTGAGTGTAGGCGGAGGAGCTGGAGCTGGGGGCAGCAGGGGCAGGGGCACTGCTGGACTGGGCGACCTGGGTGTTGGTGTCAACGCTGGTGACGGCAGCAGCGCTGGTAGCGGCGGCAGCGGTGGAAGAAGCGGAAGCAACGGCGCTGGCGCTGCCAACGACAGCAGTGCCGGTGGAAGTGATAGCGGAGGTAGTCTGGGTGATGGAGACGGCGCCGCTGTAGGCAGTAGGGCCGGGCACAGTGTAAGTGGTCAGGGTGGAGTAGATGTTGACGAGGATGCCATTCTCAGTGGCAGTGTAGAGCTCGGTACCCTTGACACCGGAGGGAGTGGCAGTACCGGTACCGGTGACCTGGAGGTTGAAGCACTGGGGGTAGTTCTGGGCGCCGTCCTCCTCTTCAGCGCCGTGGAGAGCGATGAGCTCGTGACGGAGGACGTAGTTGCCGGCGGCGATGGAGGGAGGGATCTCGACCATCCAGCTGTTGTTGTTGTTGATCAGCTGGTCGGTACCCCAGGTGCCGGGGACCTCGGAGTCGCTGACGAGACCGACGCCGTCGATCTTGAAGAACTCCAGGTCGGTCTTGTCGACGGTCTCGCAGCTGCCGTCGCAGCGCGCCAGGTAGTCCAGGACGGGACCGTGGTGGGAGTCGGGCCAGGCGGTCCACTGGATGTTGATCTTCTCACCGGCACCGACGACAACGTGGGCCTGGGCGTTGGTGGCGTTCTCGTGGCAGATGATGTTAGGGTCGCGGTACGCATCGGGCGAGATGAAGCCGTTGCCGGTGTTGGGGGTCGTCCAGGCGGCGACCTTCGGGGGGTCAGACTCGTAGGGGAAGACACTGATGTCGAAACCCTCGTAGTAGACACCGTCGACGACGAGGTTGGTGACGTGACCGTGGGCAGCGACCTGGGTGGCCGACAGAAGGGCCGCGAGAAGGGAGGCAGACTGAGCTTGACGCATGATTGCTAGTGTGGTTTGGAGAAGAAGGAAAAATTGGTAGAGAATGTAATGGAATGGAATGTAGAGTTGTAAAGAGTGAGCGCGCAGCGCAAAGAGTGTGAAAGCCTCAATCAATGAAGCGGAAAGCAACGAAGGGAATGATGGAAGAGAAGACTTGCTTGAGGAGGAAAAGAAAAAACGGCATCATGGTCGAGGAGCAGCATGGCTTTTAAGTCTTCGGGTCGCCCTGTCAATATTCGGCGATGCTTTACCTGCGTCACATCTCAAACCACCGCTGGAGCCATGACACCCACCCAGGAGTCTGGTCTGACCACCGCCCTAGATAGCGGGTCCGAACTGGGCCCTTGAGAAGCGCCGTAGCAATTAAGGTGAGGGCAAACGGCGGTAGGGCAGGGGCAAGTGTTCCAGATCCGTCTGATATTAAGGCTATTGCCCGACTAGGGTCTTGGCTGTCGGAGAGTTTCCACTTTTGCCTCACAACAACCTTCTGTCACCTTCTGTCGAGCATGTTCTTGTCGGTTTCACTCAGAAATCGCTTATCATGAAGAAGCTTTTCTCAATTAACAGTTCAAGAACAGTTGTTCAACTGGCAAACGAACGCTGAGAGTGTGGTTAAAAATAGTAGCAGATGCCCGCCGCCCACTGCGGATCCGGCACTAGCCACCGAAGAACTAGTGTATCCCTAACTGGATGATAGCTCATCGGATAAATGCTGGTCCAGACTCATATAAATTAAGTCTTCCCTGACTGGTCGTCCCCACCAATTACACCCCTTGATGCTGAATAGCCGCCGTTCCTGCAGCACTCAGTCCCTGCCAATTTTCCACAGACGCCCGCCACCACATTCGGGAGCGAAATCTCTGAGTTTTCCAATGACAACCAGTAGTGGGACCATCCTCTTGCTTGGATGATAGCATAGATGGAGCGCATTCGTCAGCAAAGGCCTGTTGCCTCGCCGAGTTTGGTCGCGCTTTGACCGGTCAGGGTCCACGTCGGAGTCTGCTCCGTGGAAGCACAGCTGTGTACCGAGTACCCTGAACTAATCTCCAGTCCCTGGTCGCAGAGGTGCATACCAATTGTGCCATCACTATAGCATACCTACGCAACTTCAACTACAGTATGATACGACGCTGCAACACCAAGACCGTGCGACTACCAAGCAACTTTAAGATCATTAAACAATTAACCTTAAGTGAGACACAACGGTAACGTTGAATGACTCGCCATGGTAGTGAGCCCTTGGCAAACCGGATCGCGGGTGGGCCCTGAAACATACCTGTTTATTAAAGGCGGCCGCAGCGTCAACATACATCCTCTGCACAGCCTGCTTTCCTAAAGTAGCCCTGGTCGGCAGGTCAGTTCCGGACCTGAGTCAGCGGGACTGCGCGGAATCAAGCTAATATGAGTTGTGTGTAAGGCTGTATTTGGCTAGATTTGCTGGCATTGGATGTTCGGGTCGGATATAAGGGTATATTGCAGGGGCTCTGGCAAGTCTCGGAGGGGAATCTGACCTCGCTCGAGGGCAGTTATTGGCTGTCGCATGCATCATCAGTATTCCAAGGAGCATTTAAGCGCCGTGTTCACGACTGATCATATTACTGCAACGATATTATTATCACGTGGTACCTGGAGAATACTGCCCACAGTATCGGTAGTATCAAGAATAAAAAGGAAAGGAGTACCAACGCAGTCTGAAGAGAGAAAGAGAATTGCAGAAAAGACAAACCAATAAGAAAAAGCGAGTTAATAGACAGGAAGAAAGGAAAATCAAAGAACAAGCTACCACTTCCAATCACTCGTTGACCCATCCCAGTCCGGCCCCGGGGGACGGGGGCACTTCGCCAGGCCCCAAGCGAACCACACCGCAGGAGACCACTTTTTCTTCTTCATGTTAGTCGTCGCCATATAGAAGCCAACGATGAAACTATACACATAAGCGTATTAGCAACAGCCTTTTCTTTAGATTGCATTCCAAGGTCAAGGACTTACAGAGTAGACGACTCCTCGTCCCAGACGAGGTTGGACAGCCTGCCACCAAGAGGCATATAGCCCCATTTAGAAAGCTGTCTGTATCTTACGTCAGTCCAAGCCAGACGCACATGATGGACGTAAGAGACGGAAGGATGAAAGACGAACAGAAAGTTGTTTTTGAAGTGCTCCCGGACGATCTCCCTTTTATCTCGTTCCATCCTCCAGAAACCACAGTCTTCGTCCCCACCCTCTGTACCCAGTTGTTCGCCAGCAACTACCTCCCAGGCTACATAGACTAGGAAGCCACCAGGGACAAAGCCTGAGTTATCCTGGGTGGTGTTTTTGGAGTCCAGCAGGCGCGGCGTGAATCTGGAGCCCTTTTTGGTAAGGGCACGGAGCGCTATCAATTCATCTGGCTCACAGGGTTTGGCTTGCTTGGCGCGAACAGCTGCTGGCTCGGCCTCGGTACCAGCGGCTGGGATCTGTTTATAGATCCTGATATGTGATTTGATATTTTCATCTGTCTGCTTACAAATGAGTCGAATTGTGGCGTCGGAGGCAGGAGGGTGGCCTGGACTGCCTTGGTCCTTAAAAAATTGTGAGATGTGCTCCGTACATGCTTCGAGCACAGTCCAAGATTGGTTGAGCTGAATTGTTACACCTGGGCGGATCTCTGACTCCGCGAACCAATGAGATAGCATGGTGCGTTTAATGGGGAGATATTATTCGACACTGGAACATTGGTTGCAGTGGTTAATAATGGAAGACTAGGTGAAACAGCTAATTCCATTCTATAAGATGGAGTAGCGGGCTTTGGTAGAGTGCATGACGGCATAAGCTTGTCACTGCGGACAACTTCGGTGCGGACCACATACATAGTATGTGCCGACCAGATACTTAAATTCGCTTTTGTTCTATAAAGCTGAGGGACCACGAAGGCCCAGCAAGCTGAATTCGGCACCCGTCGCATCTTCTAGAACAAGCACAGTGGAATTTGTCGCCGTTATGCTCGCCAGATAGCAGATCCTCGGCCATCCTGTGCCAGCGATTATCAAGTTAAATACATATCGGACATATGAGCCGCGAGACTGCCGACAGCAAAGGTGCGGATAAGGTATATAGGACTAGCTGCAGGCAGATAATTATAATAGAAGTTTCGCGCTAAGACAAAAGAGCCACACGGATCAAATCTTGGATTTAAAGGCGTTGCCCGATCTATACAGGAAGGTATCACGAATCCACTCCAACTCCCTCCATAAAGCCGGATGCAAAGACCCAGTCAAGCAGTGGCCTGTTGCATTAGGATCCCCGTTGATGGTGACAAGGCCATGTAGGTGAATTCCTATACATTGCGCCAAATCTATGCTTTCCATGCGAACGTCGGAAAAGAGCGGTCGCACACCTGGCTTAAACTCGAGATCGTAGAGGTTGATTTGAGCGATGGAGGAGACCAGAGACCTGGGATGAGAGGGTCTGACTACCCGCGTATGCCAGAGGTGCAAGGGCCCCATTTGCTGATGTTGAAGATTGAAAGCCTCGAGGCATTCTGGTGACTGCGCAGCCCGTGTGACGCGGCGAATGTGGACTGCGAGGTTGATCGTAGTCTCGTGGCTCACTTGATTCGCGTTGAAGTCTGGTAATTGTGGAATGGGAACAGGCCAGAAGCTGTTGTGAAATTTGGCAGGACTCTTCAGTAAGTGATTGAAGTTTACCATGAAACTCAGCGGGTAGGAAGCAATGGTTGGATCGTGAGGGAATGCTCGTATAGTTGCCTGGATGGATCCCTATTAGCTGGACTTGTGTGAAAGCCCCTTGAATGGGAAGTATGCATTGTTTACCTGAAGGAGTAAAGCCATCATAATGTCAACCCGAGTAATACGAATACCTTGTTTCGTAGCATCGTGGGCAATCCCATCAATTACTGGCCCTGGGATGTGCAGCATGCGGGAAGACCCCGTATTGCCCCATGACGCAGGCGCCAGTCGGTGAGACAGTAATCCCAGGGTAAAATGTGACAACCCCCCGGAGAATAGGTGGTTACTTGCATTGCTCAAAGTGCCAGGGGAATAGCCTTGGCGATGGTGAGGGCTGGATGGCGTCTTGGAGGAAGCGTGAAACCGGAAAGTGACTGGCCGGTGGAAATCAGGGACATCAATACATTTCCCGGAGAGAAGCATCGAGTAAGCCCGCGCAATTTCGTACATGCCTTGATAGATACCTGTTTAGCGGAATATGATGATGACGGTCATGGATTGTCGCTTCAGTGTGGTTTACCTAGCGCATCACAGAATGCATGTTGGAATGTGAACTTCAAGACACTGGCATCTTTAAGACAAACTGCGGTCAGAGTACAGACTGGGGGATACAGAATTGAGAATGTAGAGCACGGTAATGATGTGAGATCTTTCAACCGATTGTAATCATCCTCTTGCACGTTATGGTGGATGAATGGATAGAGGGGGAGGATGTCCGCAAGTGTACTGTCGATAACACGATGCTGAAAAAATGAGTGGGTTTTTGAGACCTGAAATGTGCCTGTACGCTAAATGGCTCAATCAGCAAGTCTTCCTACGGTTGAAACAGAAGCTCAAACCAAAAGATTTAGTCTAGCCTGAAGTATTGGCCATTCATGGACGAGTTCCTGGAAACACTTTTCAAGCTGTATTGGATCAAATGCTTCTCCAAGCACAAACGAACCGTGTGCCTGGAGAAACCGTGGTGCGCCCTTGTCGGCATAATGGAAGCTCATATTGTACAATTCTCGTGAGGAGCACTGGACAGAAAGTCACTGAAAAGGATGTTTATCCAGAACCCTGGGTTTAGAGAATATCTAGGGTAGACGCATGGGCGTGGACATCACCGGGTGCCACTAAGGGTCGACAAAAGAGGCAGAACAATCTAGCCCCTTGCATGTGATGGACCGGAAACATATTAAGCCGGGCCGTGTATAATGTACAGACTCATATTTAGTTGAGACATATCCCCCCGTCCCCTGATCAGGTCAGATCGACGGGAAATTATATCGTTTACCAATCTGCTAGCACAGGTTAGTGCATTAACAGAAGTTAACTGGAACTGTGGCGTAATATGCAACACCACAGCGCTGAAATATACCTTGCTCTGGTGCACCCCTGTCCAGAACCTTGCATACCTCGCTATTCTCTCAGTGGTCAACTACCCTTTACTACATGGTCCAGGAGAGAAAGGAAATGAAAGAGTAAAACACCGCTATGTCTACAGCTAATATCGGCGCACTAACCACTAGACTGAGAACGATATATCGATTCTAGTCAGCCAGGTGACGCGAAGATATGTGTCCCAACAGGAAGATTCACGGACATACAATTGTATAACACTGTCAGCCTACCACTAGTATGCTAGAACATGGAGCTGTCTATAACTGCACTCTATACCCTCGATTTTGTATCCCTTGGGATACTAAGATAATAGAGCCAATGGCTGGCTATTGTCCCTGGCTGTTTTGACTGATACAACCAAAGCATCCCTTGCTGCCTACAAACAGCTACCTTTAGGAGTGGTAAGAGCGTTATCGACTAGACCAATGCTAGCGAGGATTTGTCTGCTCCTATCTGCTCTAGAGTATCTGCATCCTTTTCTTGATCGATTGTTGCGTAAAGGTGTCTGGGTCATAATTCTCCAGTGATAAACCCAAAGGCCCAGGAACGGACTTGAGGGACGAAGAGCGTGCACAGTCCGTTCTATGTGACCGAGAATAACGCCCAAAGAGATCGAGGAAGCAATCTACCAACTGCGAGTTGCGTGTTTGGAGAAGACTGGCTTGAATATTCGCTAAGGGATGCACAGAACATCGGGCGGGACTATCGTTCGTGCGACTGCTACTAGTCAGGACGGAAGAACGCCAATGATGTTTTACCCCTCCGTAGACGCCCAGGAGAATTTGATCCGCCGTGCGTACCGTGATGCCGGCATTGCAAGCACACCGTTGTTCGAATGTCATGGAACAGGTACAGTGGCCGGTGGTACAACCGAAGGAACTGTGATTGCAAAGCTGACAGACCGGAGGAGCGTCTTTCTTGGGGTGGTAGGTGTATCACAATGCTCCTAGGATCGAAGAAATCAAACTAACTTTGTTTAGGTCAAGCCGAACCTGGGACATGCGGAAGGTGCATCTGGCATCAACAGCATTATGAAATCTATCCCTCGTGCTGAAACACAGAGCCATCCCTCCCAATATCTATTTCAACTCCCATCATCCGAATAGTCCTCCGGTGGAGGGGAATCTCTAAGTAGCTCTGAATGCTATTCCATGACCTAGCGACCGCCCTGAGTGGGTTAGCATCAATTCTTTCGGTATCGGAGGGTCCAACGCCCACGTTATTCTTAAGTCCGCCGATTACTACATGAAAAGCCGTGACATCCCGATCCGCGACAGAAATATTGCACCATTAGATAAGCCCCAAATTATACTCATCTCAGCAAATACTAAAGCGTCGTTGGATGCTCGTATTCAGCGGTTGACGACTTACGCAAACGGTATGGAGAAGGATTACCTTCTGTGCGATCTATCCCATGCCCTTGCTGTACGGCGACGACATCTCATCTACCGCGTATTTGTCATTGCCCGCCCAGATGTGGAGCTGACTGAACAGGGATCCATTCGCTCATTATGGTCTGGGGCGGTCCCAGAGGTGTCAATTGTCTTTACCGGGCAAGGCACACAATGGCCTGGCATAGGTAAAAGATTATTGGATACAGATGCAGGCTTTGCTGCTGATCTAAAAGCAAATGGATCAGATCCTTCAGAGTCTTCATACTCCTCCATGGAACCTGCAAGGTATTTCGAGAGACACTACTTACGTTAGTATATCCAGCATAGACAGCTGATCAACCGGTAGACGAACTACGCAGGGTGCATCAAGCGTCTAGAGTCCACGAGGCAGAGCTGTCCCAACTCCTCTGCGCAGCTATTGGTGTGGGCTCGGCGATCATGAGAGAATTTAGCAAGGTCGTTGTGCACAGCCCTGGGGTGTTGAGCACTCCGAGGATCAAATCGCGGGTATTGTGATTGATTCGCTCGTTGCCATCGAGGCCAGAAATTGGGCGCGCAAGACTATATGGTTGAAGATTCCAATGTCCGCACTTTCCAAGGTCAAAGCGGTGGGTGAACTCAATAATATGTGGTTGAGGGGCTGAAAGCAAAATACTCCCAGGGAAGGAGGGAAGGCCCTAAGCCATAATTATTGCTACTCTTAGTCTAAGGAATTCCAAACATGGTGCTCAGTAGTTTGACCCAGCCCATCTCAGAACTCGAAACGAATGATGGGACTTTAGGGATATCACTCGAATCTATAATATATATTCGACTAGAATACTTGAATTAGACTGCTTGCAAGTCTTGATCTCCATGACATGCAGTAGAGGTAGCAGATAGTCTAACACATCGCGCCCGACTCAGGAGACACCAGCGCTTCGTTGAACCACCATGCGAAACTATGCCAACGAAAGATGACCAGCTAGTGATTTCTCGCGTCCCAAAATTAAAGCTGCATCGCTAGGCTACCGTTTTCTTTCTTGCATTGGAATAGAAGTGTCTACAGCCCCAAGACAGTATACTCAATATGGATCCGTCTGACAACATGGAGACTCTGTGCGCTTCTCAGATGACCCAAGTCGACACCTCACCGACTTGAAGATAGGCTCCATCCACCGTTTGCAGCGAATCCTGACTCAACCGACCATCGATTCGTTCTTGGCCGGGGTGCTCAGACGGTTCTCTCTGGGCGCCAAGCTGCCGAGAGTCATTGAAGCCAGCGGAGGTTGCCAATTTCTCCGCCGCACAGCGGGTGAGATCCGGGGAGGCAGTTCTGTTTGCAAATTGCCGCGCAGATATCCCTGATTACACCAGCTGGTCGGCCAAGACCGAGCGGGGCGGTTACACTCTATTACTCGTACTCTTCACTAAGGTCACGCCTGTATGACGCCTCCTGCAACAGAGTTACAGGCCACGCCTTCCCCAGCCTTAGGAGCCGCTTTCAGTGCCCCTCATTCTTGGCATGAGTTTCTAGTGAACTCAAATCGGAATGGGTATCGACTGAGTGACCACCTCGGAGGCTATCTGTGTGGATGTGCGAGGCATCCAAGATCTCGGCATATGTAGTCCAAGACAATTGCAGTTGCGTTCATTGAAGTCCAAGGTTCTTGGGTCGGATCCGTGAGACCGAGTTCTTAGACCTAAATATCAGATTGGTTGCAACATTATAGAGCCTGAAGTTATGCTTTGACGCGAATGGAACGAGTCATTTCGGCTGGATTGAGCCCAATAGACCTAAGGATTTATGTCTTCAGTGACACCGGGGTACAAATAGGCCATCCTGACCCGGGGGACTTTCGTTAGGACACGGTGCGCCCTGCTCTACTTCGAATATACACAAAAGACGTCCCTATCAAGTGGTCACTGGGGCTGCATTACCTAATATCATGATGTATGACAAAAAAGGCGACCCGGAGAATCCTATCTCGACGGTTCATCACCTTGAATCACCTACCTCTAATGACAAGCAAGATCCAGAGGTTGCTCGAGACTGGACACACGATTTGACCGAGAGCAAGAATGTCACCACATCCACAAGGTTGAAGAATCCACTTTCTGGCCTGACGCGTGATGAACTATTTCGAGATGTCGAGTCATTTGCAAAGGACAAGGGTTTGGAGCATATCATGGATGAGCTGAAAAGAGGCTCCCTCGTAGCCCAAGATCCTAAGGGCTTCGAGTCCCTTGATGAATTATCCGAAGGCGATAAAGAACTGCTTCGACGTGAGAAGACACATCGATGGAGCCAGCCATTCATGATGTACTTCATGACTAGTACGTCTTCTCCAATACAAACTGGCACAGACGGGATGTTAACAAGATACTAGTCCTTTGTGCTGGGTCCGCAATTGTCCAGGGCATGGACCAGACGGCAGTTAATGGAGCACAAGAGTAAGTGACACACTGTGAGATGCCCTTTCTAATAACTGAGTACGGTCAGGTTCTACTTCGCCGAATTCAACCTCACCAATAGATGGCAGCAAGGGCTCCTCAACGGGGCTCCATACTTATGCTCAGCGCTTATAGGATGTTGGACAACAGCCCCTCTGAACCGGTGGTTTGGTCGTCGTGGATGCATCTTCATCTCATGCTTCATATCCTTTGCCTCGTCCTTTTGGATGGCTGCGGCACACACTTGGTGGAACCTGCTACTGGCCCGATTTCTCCTCGGGTTTGCAGTAGGCGCCAAGTCAACAACAACCCCGGTATATGGTGCGGAATGCTCTCCAGCCATCATTCGTGGTGCGTTGGTTATGATGTGGCAAATGTGGACCGCTTTTGGGATTATGCTAGGGTACATTGCTTCAGTCGCCTTCATGGATGTAACACACCCCACAATTCCCGGTTTCAACTGGAGATTGATGCTGGGTTCAACTGCCATTCCGTAAGCTTAGTCATCTTCACCTAACTCACCGGCCCTAGTTGTGCTGATCCCGTCCAGTCCCTTCTTCGTGTGCATGCAAGTGTACTTCTGCCCCGAGTCACCCAGATGGTATATGATGAGGAATCGCTATCAGGACGCTTACAAAGCACTTTGTAAGCTCCGCCCTTCCTCGTTTCAGGCGGCCCGCGACCTCTACTATATCCACACGGCACTACAGGTGGAGGAAAAGCTCCGGGAAGGCAAACACCTCTGGCGCGAGATGTTCACCATCCCACGCAATCGACGAGCAGCACAATCCTCGTTTTTTGTCATGTTTATGCAGCAATTCTGCGGGGTCAACGCTTTAATGTACTACAGCTCGAGCATTTTCTCAAATGCGGGGTTTGATAGGCGTATGGCGTTGGTGACGTCATTGGGATGTGGTATAACGAACTGGATATTCGCTCTGCCGGCCGTATATACGATTGACACGTTTGGAAGGCGGAACCTGCTCCTCACCACATTCCCATTGATGAGCCTGTTTCTGCTCTTCACCGGCTTTTCATTCTATATCCCGGACCAAACATCAAGGACGGCTTGCGTGGCGACGGGGATCTATCTGTTCATGATTGTGTACTCCCCAGGCGAGGGACCAGTACCTTTCACGTACTCTGCTGAGGCATTTGTAAGTCAATGTGTATCAAATTGTGAGAAGGGTTCTTACTAAACGAGACAGCCACTTTATATCCGTGATGTAGGCATGTCCTTTGCGACTGCGACGACCTGGGGTTTCAACTTCATTGTCTCATTGACGTGGCTTCCATTGCGGGACGCCTTCAGTCCACAAGGCGCATTTGGCTGGTACGCAGCATGGAACGTCTTCGGATGGATCTTCTGCTACTTCTGTCTGCCTGAAACCAAAGCATTGTCGCTCGAGGAACTGGATCAGGTCTTCTCGGTTCCCACGAGAAAGCACGTCAATCACTATGCAGGGATGCTGCCGTGGTATGTAAGGAAATATATCTTGCGAGGAGATGTGCCGCCTCAAAAGCAGTTGTATGATTATGAGTAGATGGGAAGGCAGTGAAGGTCTGAACGGCAGAGCCAACATATCTCGTTGGAATTCGTGCCAAGGACGGCTAGCAGAGGAAGGCGAGCTTGCAGTATATACGTTATGTATGCCCTTTCGTTTCATCCACACGTCATTCGGCTCAAATATCCGTACTCGATGCTTCCTGCCAATCCCTAGCCAGCCATAATATTGCGCTAGCACTTGGTTCTTCAATGATAAAAAAAAATCACGAGAAACTTTAGTCCAGTCTTATTCAAGTTTCACGCTTGTTGATTGACTGGCTTTATCTTTCATGATGTCTCCACCGTCGCTAGAAACCAGCCCTAGCCATGACACGATCTCGATCATTTGTCCGTAGAGCACTGGGCATATTACAGCGCGAATCCCTGTTGAGCGTAGGATGCCGCTTGCAGCGCCTATTATGAGCAACCCCTGAATTTTAATTGCCCTGCTTATTCTATGTAACTTCAAAATTAAAGACCTGAGACACCGTCAATTTTAACATAAAATATGTACGGATTTAACAGGCCAATTGAACGCTGCCCGTGATCGTCTCCGCCAGACCGTCCACCAAACGCTCTCTGGCCGCATTACGCTTATCCTCCAAAGATCATTGTCACCCTGCTGTGAGCGTACCGTTTGCACGTTCCTTCGAGAGCTTCAGAAAATACAGGCCTGGCCTTTTGATAACTGCTTCGCGAAGCATGGGATTGACGAGCTGCTGAATCGTCTGGCCCACTTCGACGCGGATCGAATGCACAAGTACATTGATCCTGCCACGAACAGTCAATTCAACTGTGTTATGTGCAACATGGATTGGAAAACTATTGTTGAGTCCACAGCGACTCGCGTAGCTGGCTACTTTGATGGACTGTGTCTTGACTGCGCGCTGAGGACTGACGAGAACCCTCCTCCTGGTGGGCAATACGACAAAAAGGACTACTGGGACTGTTTAGAAAGCCACGATCGGTACGATCGGAAATGTCGGATCCAACACGGAGAGCCCTCATGGTACTTTAGCTTCATGGGAGAGCAGCGAGAACTACAAGCAACCCCAGCTCATGGTGTTGGTCTCCCTTATCGTCTTTCCAACTAATGTTGAGCCTTTCTCGCTTTGAGAATGCTTTGCGCTTCTGTTGGTGCTCACCCATGCCCAATTTTAAAGTTTTGATAAGTAGGTATGCTCGTACCTAATCCATATGGCTCGGAATTGAGATAATTCTGTTATTTTGTTTTTCCAACATCTGGAAATACAAGCCTGATTTTCTTAGTGTAATATTTTTGAAGTAAAACCTGGATATCTGCAGCAGCCTTTCTATTTCAACCCGATTTCGTAGCATCGATTCGTCTCTCAGAAAGGTAAGAGGTCGAACATGCCATCTCCTCAAGCGTCAGCCTCCACGTTAGGTTTTATATCTGCATAACTAGGCTTCTAATCAGATCGATATCGATTACTTTGTACGAATCCAACAAGTCGCGATGACAAAGGTATTGCATGGTTTTAAAAGAGAGGGTGACCAGCTGCATAGTACATATCCCCACAGAGTTCAAATACCACCTACCCACATGCATCCGAAGAGAAATGAATCATTTGGCTATTAAACTACCGACTATGCTTCTCCAGAAGCTGATCCAGCTACCCCTGTCTGCTCCCTCATTCCATATCGTCTCAAGTCAGTCCACAAAAGTCAATTTCCTTTCCTCGCAGAGTTGAAACCCGAGATGAACATTCCCTTCGCGGCAAGGTCTCCAGATGAGACTAGCCGACACATTTGAGTAATCCCAGCACCAGTGGTCGTGGTCGCATGTATCAGGATGCTGAGGACGGTTGTGTGGGTCGCCCAAAGCCTTCTCTATGTCGTTGGTTCCATTGTTGTAGACCGCGTAGATCGAGGAAGGGCTCGAGGATACGAAGCAGTTCTCGGAAGGTAAGAACAAAGATACAGCAGGCAACCGCTTTGATAAGTAGTGCAAGGGCTTGATCGAGCTCACTATGCATCTTTTTGTGCTATGAGTCAGGAAATATAGGCTAGATATAACAGTCAACTCCAGAGTTGTATGGAATTGTCGTTTGGAGTGGACATGCAGCAAGAAGGGCTTCCAGAACTTGTTATTACAAATATTTCTAAAAAGAACGCTCAAAAGGATGGCGCGGATGCACGATTGGTTGCTTCGTTAGCAGGGTTACTTTGGGCCCCTTCGATCACGACTCCCCGTATCTGCTCTGGACAGCATCCTCCTTATTTATTTCCTGGGCCTATCGGAAGGCTGTAGCATTACTTGAATATCTGGAGCAGGAACAGATATTTCGATCAGACTTACTGGGACCTGATAGAGTACTCGTATAGGGAAACAATCCAATTCGCCGAGTAAAGGGAACATCAGTATCCGCGACCTTAAATGTGGGCCAAGTGAATTGCTCCGATTGGGCTCTCTTTGGGGACTGACAGGGAAGTAGATCACATCACGCAGGGACTCATCCTACTAATATAAGCACGGTAGCCTCGTTAGGACATGATTGGGGGCCCAAGGTGATCACATGGAACTGGTCAATGGTCCAGTTATTCATCTATGGTCTGTGGGGAAGCATCTGGCGACCTACTAGAGTGACAGGGAAGGCATTCCAAGCGGAACGACCCGATGATGTAGACTTTCCTGTTTGCACAGGTTTCACCGTCTCCCAACTCAACCCTATATACCGTAGCAGTCTATAAGTAGACCTCCCCGGATGTTGCACCTTTGGGATAATCTGGGGTAATAGCACAACTTCGCTTGCAATCAATCCACACTAGATAGAGTTCAACTTTAATGTTGGTGGTTTTACTACTTTTTCGAAAGAACAAGTCTCTATAAACACGTCAACATTCTTAGTAGCAGCTGTGGTCAATAAGATTAGTATTTTCAGATTATATGTACCGAGTCAAGGTGACATACACCCAAAGAATGCAGAAAGTAAGGCCAAGCAGGGGGAGACCCCGCGCCGACGTTATCCGGCTTGGGGTTTTCAAAGATAGACCACTGAACTGGGGCTTGCCTATCTCCCACCCTGTCTTCGAATTGGCCAAAGGTACTTATATTATGGCGGAAGCTAATGCCAAGGGTCTACAAGGGAGGGTTGGATACATTCAATATCAATATCACTGGTAAAAGAAGACTTTGGCAAGTCTGTAATTTTACGGCGTGCCAAATTTGTTAAGCCAGACGACATTTTTTCGGGTATAAGTTATGAACAAAGGTAGTAAGGGGGAATATAGCCTGTGTTGCTGCTCTAAACGTCGATGGCAATCTTTTGATATGCTGTACGTAACCTTCAGTGCTTAAGGTCGGCGGTGGTATGAGCATTCATTTACCTTCGAAAGCTAAAGGTGATGTGCTATAGGTCAAAAGGCAATTTCATGCTCAAGTAATACTAGTGCTGTTATACACAAGAGGACGCTGATGTGAGATTTTATTGGTTGGTAAGAGGCAAATTGTCAGAATCACGAAGGCCGATGTGGAAATATATATTATACTAATCGAGTAATGTGAATTGATTGCAGTCATTCCCACAGATGGTGAAAAGATCGTGCATAGTGATATCCAGGGGAAAATCCGTGAGTTCACCACACGACACTGCTGCTGTCCGTTAACAGATGACTCTAATGTAGTGGCAAATGTATAACTACTCAACATCTCATGATTCCAGTCTCTGCTTCTAGAAGATTTCTGGTTTCAGAATCTTTCTGCATCCCCGATCACATGATGGTGCCCCCACACCATCCCGGCAGGTCCTTCTCAATCCAGCCTAGTGCCAGACCCTTCCGCAGGCACCGCCGGCTTGGCATTGAAGACCATTGGTCAGGAACGGGCAAATGAAGCGGAGAGCCCCACTGAAAAGGCTCGCGAATTAGGTAATGAGATGTTCAACAGGTGTAACGTTGAACACACAAATTTGTTTGTGATGCAAAGACTTTCATTCGGCCCGGCGGGTGACTCAGAAGATGGTCTTCTCGCCGGACTCGTTCATTTGTCACCGCAGTTCCTCTTGACATCTTCAGCCTGTCATTGTTGTTCAGTTTCTGCGCTAGGTTGATTGTTTGCCTGTTTGTGTCAATGTAGGAGCGGTAGGGCCGTTGACGTTGTACATCCCCAAGAAACTCTCTTCGTCGCCAGTTCTTTTTACCGTCCCCACTCCTCGTCCATCTCATTTCCCGCGGAGAGGAGAGGAAAGCTGGGATTTTCACCTTCCCGTCACCGCAGTCATGGCCCATCCAACTGGCGACAAGGTTGACTCCCATCTGAATGTTCAGACGGGTCAATTCTTTCAGGAGGGCCGAGAAGATCCCTATCTGCATGATGCAGAGGAGAAGCAGGACGACAAGAAGGACAGCCCCGTCTATAATGACACCTTTGGCGATGAAGAGTATGCCGAGGTTAAATATAAGGTCTTGAGCTGGTGGTATGTCTATCCAAACCTCCTTTATCTGCTACCGAATAACTGACTTGAATGTGCCAGGCAATGTGGTTTCCGTAAGTGATTCTGATGCTAGCATCAGTCGACAGCTTGTCTTACTAACTTTGCCAGTCATGGTTGCGGAAACCGTGTCCCTTGGTATCCTGTCGCTGCCTGCTGTTGTCGCCACTCTGGGTCTTGTTCCGTATGTATTGGACCAGCAGCTGCTTGAAGTGATATCTTCCTCTAACTAGGTGTAGTGCTATTGTTCTCATTGTTGGCCTCGGTCTTCTGGCTACCTACACCGGTTACGTCATCGGTCAGTTCAGATGGCGCTATCCCCATGTCCAGAATCTGGCCGATGCCGGTGAGATCCTATTTGGGTCTATCGGTCGAGAGATCTTCGGTATCGGACAGCTGCTGCTCGTAATCTTCATCATGGCGAGTCATCTGTTGACCTTCTCGGTCGCCATGAACACAATCACGGAACATGGAACTTGCTCCATCGTTTTTGGTGTTGTCGGTCTCGTGATCTGCTATTTCCTGGGTCTACCTAGGACGTCTGCGAATGTGTCCTATCTCTCGGTTGCTTGTAAGTTGCGAAATATATCAGGTAGTCTCACGATACTAACTTGCACAGCTTTCATCAGTGTGTTCTCCGCCGTGATGATCGTCATGATTGCCGTCGGTGTGGAACGTCCTTACAAGGGAACCCTTGAAGCAACGGTGGATACCAGCTTGTATGAAGCATTCCTTGCTGTCTGCAACATTGTCTTCTCCTTCTGTGGGTCACTTTCTATCCTGCATTAGCTACTCCTACTAACGTGCAATAGCGGGTCATGTCGCATTCTTCGGCTTCATGTCCGAATTGAAGGACCACCGGGAGTACCCAAAGGCCCTGTGTCTTCTCCAGGGTCTCGACACCATTCTCTACCTTGTCACTTCCGTGGTGATCTACATTTATGCGGGGCCTAATGTCACGTCCCCTGCACTGGGCTCCGCTAGTGAACTCGTGGGCAAGATAGCCTACGGAATCGCCCTCCCTACTGTACGTGCGGTGCTCATATTACCTGTGCTCTACTGACATGTGATAGATTATCATCGGCGGAGTTGTAAACGGTCATGTCGCTTGTAAATATGTTTATGTCCGTATCTTCCGTCACGGAGACCGGATGCACAGCCGCGACCTCGTGGCAACTGGATCCTGGGTTGGCATCGCACTGGGATTGTGGATTATTGCCTGGATCATTGCAGAAGCCATTCCTGTGTTCAATGATTTGTTGAGTTTGATCGTATGTTGCCTTCTTACTCTACTCAAATATCATACTGATTTTTTTCCAGGCGTCCCTTTTCGCCAGTTGGTCTACATGTGAGCACATCATTCCCTTTCAGTCGTCATATTCACACTAACAGCAAACAGTCGGGTTCAGCGGCATGTTCTGGCTCTACCTCAACAAGGATCGCCTGTTCTCTTCGCCGAAGAAGATTGCCCTGACTATCTTGAACGTTATTATAATTGGTATTGCAGCCTGCATTGTAAGTATCCTATTCGTTTTATCATCAGATCATCTCTAACAACAGAATCAGTGCGGTCTCGGACTCTACGTATCCGGCCGTTCCCTTCACGACGACGCCAACAGCAGCAGTTTTTCTTGTGCCAGTAA